GGCAGCAAGAGAGAGATGGCTGCCAGCCCTGATCTCCCTCAGGAGCAGGGGGAGGTGGAGAAGCCCGGAGGGGCCATTGGGGTGACAGCCGCCGGTTGACGGTACCGAGCGACTGGCGCTCCATCTTGGTCTGATGCCTCAGCTCACCTATTATCCTGCTGTGGCTGACACCTGCCATGTTCCACGCACACCCCCTGGTGGTCAGTGCATGTCATAGCAACCGGTTCCCTTGTTTCCACCATTCAGTCTATTTGCATATTAGCCTTTTATTATATAGGATTATCCACTAGGTAATTAGTAAAAAAAAACAAAAACACTTTAAGTTTAAAAGGGTTTGTTGTCTAGTTTTAAGGGAGAGCAGAGAAGGTAAGTATGAACCTCATATCTCTCTCCTGGGCTCTGACTCACATGACTACCAAATATATATTTTCAGATATAGTCTCTCTTCCTAACGTTCAGCTCTGTGCCTTCAACATCCTGTGTCTAATTACCTGAATATGCTGTATGCAGCACAAACTCAATATGACTAAAACTATGCTTCTTGCCTTACTTCTAAGCCCATTTCTTCTCTTATATCATATATAAATGTTTAGATAAATACTTTACCAAAAAAGATCATTCAATATTTTCCTGCAACTACTTCTTTTCCACTCAGGGATGTATTTTCATATAGACCTACCACATTTTAAATGGCCACATAGTATGTTGTTATATGGAAGTAGTATTTGGTTTAATGATCCATTTGTTAAAGAACTTTTTTCTCTTGCAAATAATGTTGCAGTAACATTCTTGTACATATACCCTTGCATTCACATTTGTGAATATTTCTATTAGGTAGAGTCTTAGAAGTGGTATTGCTTGACTAAGAAGTATGCATATTTTACAATGTGTTATGTACTACCAAATTGCACTTCAGTCTGTCCTAAAATCAGTCTTTTATATTATAGCTAATCTCTGTAAAATGAATTTGATCATGTGACTTCCCAATATAAGAAACAAAGCAGCAACAAAGATGTTTGATGGATTTCTATTGTCTATATAATGAATTTTAAAATTCTTAATTTTTAAGAGTATTTGTGATTTATATAATCTCACCCTGACCTATCTCTCCTACCATTGTCCCCTACTGGCAAACATATACTCTGTTGTATAAGACAAAATTCACCTCTTCTGTAAAGCCTTCCATGTATGCAGTGCTCTCTTTTCCCTCTCTATGTAAGTTAGAATTATTTACTTCCTTCTCTAAGTTCCATAGCATTTAATTTATGATCCCTCTGATAGAACTTAGTACATTGTACTGTATTTTTATGTATCTGTTTGCCCTACTACACTGTGAACGTAAGGCAGGAACTGTTTTACGGATCTCTCTATTTCTCACACTTTGCACAATGGTTGTCAGAGCGGGTGCTCAACAAATGTGCATGGAACGGGTAAAGATATCCTTGAGGTAGTGTTAGCAATAAGAGATCAACCAAAGGACTTGTATACATGCACATAAGCATAACCAATGGACGTAAGACACTGGGGGGTAGGGGAGGCCAGGGGATTGTCAAGGGCGGGGGAAAAAAAGGAGACATATGTAATACTCTTTGACTTTGGGAGATAGAGTAGGTTATGGAAGTTTTGAAATGTAGCAGAAAGCTGAGTGAATCTTGGGAACATGGAAGTTGGTCAGGAAAGGAAAAATGGGCTTCAAATGGCAGGAATCCTCATGTGGTTTTCTCTTCTACTACAGAGACCAGGTATCTGATTTTTTGCATTAATAGATTTGGGGCTTGAGAACATTTAATGTATTGAAAATTGGATGATTAAGGATCTGCTTGGTGGAGGGGAAGATTGACTCATTTGGTCTGAGCTCTTTCCTGACCGAGAAGAAAGATCCAACCCTTTCCCAGAGTCATGAATAAGTTTTTCTACTTGAAAAATCAAAGCCTCTTAATGTTAAATCAAAGCCCCATCTTTAATTCAGGTGGGGTAGGAATGGTAAATAAGTCAGATAATTCTACATTGTCTCTTTTAAAAAAAACACGTTTTTATTGCTTTCAGAAAGGAAGGGAGAGAGAGATTGAATCATCAATGATGAGAGAGAATCATTGATTGGCTTCTTCCTGCACACCCCACACTGGGGATTGAGTCCACAACCCAGGCATGTGCCCTGACCAGGAATTGAACCATGACCTCCTGGCTCATAGGTTGATGCTCAACCACTGAGCCATACCAGCTGGGCTGCATTGATTGTCTCTTTAGCCTGACTCAAGGGGAAAGTGGTCTACTAAAAGCCTCTAGAGCTGTGGGCCTATTCTGGAGTAAATTATCTGTGAAATTAATTCTTCACTTATTTCAGGTAACTCTGGTAGCTCTCCTATGCTGGTTGCTTTGAAGAAAGAAGACTAGAAGGAAAAATAGAGAAAGTCATGTCGGAGATGCTTGACCTCTCTTTTCTGTCTGAGATGGAAAGGGATTTGATCATTAGTGTTCTACAACGAGATGAGGAACTCCGAAAAGCAGATGAGAAAAGGATTAGGTAAGAGTTCCAGAAAAAGCATGAGTTCCCAGGCTTTTGACCAATGATATCCAGACTTCTTCTTATAACTCTCACTAGAAGCCCGGTGCACAAAATTCGTGCACGGGTGTATATGTGTGTGTGTGTCCCT